CTTTATTCTAAATAAAGTAAAAGTTTTACTTGAATTCTCCGAAATTATGAAAAAACCAAAATTCCCAAAAATCATTAGAAAAATAATATATGTATAATTAAAAGCATTAATATGTCAGCATTTCTTTGTATAAAAAAGTCTTATTAAAATCACGCAAAAGCAAGCAAATCCAATTAAACACAATAGAAAAAGAAAGTTCATCAATTGATTAAATTAGACCTTTCCATTTAATTACTTTACAAATGAAATCAAAATTCACATTCTGTGTACTCAAACAGATAGGAAATAAGAATAACTTGTTAAGTTCAACTTAATGTAGCTGTCTACTTATATCATCTGGATTTATGACTGATTTAAAAACAATGAGGTACAATAAACAATAGCTATGATATGACTTTAAAAAAATCAGAAAACCCAATCATATGAGATATGTACTTGCTGTCAACTTGGTGATATAAAATTTTTGGAATAAGAAAAATATATTGCATCATATTTAATTTCTAGTACATCAAATTCTTGAGAAGCTTCACATGCAACTTTATTGAAAAATTATGTTGATAAACCTAAATATTTTTTTCATTTCAATCACGTGGTTTTCACAAGAACAAACAAGGCTGGGAAAATTTTAATACGTATATTTCCCTTGAACTGTGAACATCAAAGTTTTTCAAAAATCTTTGTATATCAGGTCGATTGCCAAAACTACTGAATTGTTTGTTTCGGTATAGATTACGCGTTAACTACCCAATATTTTATAATCAAATAAGGCGGTTTGCATCCTATGGACTATACTTCAACACAAGTGAACAAAATCGAGATATCTGATTTTTCATTCCTCTAGTGTTCAAAACGCAACAACACCCACAGAGGTGTTAAAATGTATTGCAACATTAAATCATCGACGTATTTAATACCTCGAAGTCAGCAACGATACTCGCAATTCCACTGTACGGCCAAGGCTTTTTCTGATGACCTAGTTTATCATGGTTCTATTTACAATTAATTCTAGAAGGCAATCAGATCTTTTATTAGAAATAGGAATCTTTTTTAAATGCAAACGCTAAATTACAAAACACTCTGCTTCATATTTATTTCTATTGTACTGCTGACAAAGTGGTCATTGTATTCAAGTAGACTGCCTGCACAAACTTTGTGTGTCAGTTAGACAAATTGTTAAACACCTTCCTATGTAATAATATAACTCAGTACCTCTGTTTTTATTCCAACATGCAATGGCGTCGCTAAAGGAAGGCCTAGGAAGGGGGCACGTGCCCCTCAATAAATTGGCTGTGCCCCCCAAGTGCTCCTCATTAGAATTTTATATAAGAGTCTTCATATGCATCATTCGAAATTGAAAAAGAAGCACATGGCATTAATGTAGCTCTTACGGAATTCGCACAACTTTACTGTAAAAGGAAGCATTCTATTAGCTGTGCAGACTAGTTTGCGTTGTATTCACCCTTTCTGAGTTGTTAGGCAAGTGGTGAAGATTTTAATTTCTTAAAAATAAACAAAACAAAACAAAACAATACTTGTGCAATAATTCAAGTCTCTAGTTGGTAAGGAAGAACAAGTAATATTGTGATGCTTATCATGAACCACATTACACCATATCATAAAACTTGTATGAGATCGTGGACAAGTGTGCTCGTAGACTCAAATTTGTAGAAAGAAAAGTACAAATATAGCAATGACTAAGAGTAAGGCTCATGAAAATACTGCAACTCTGGGAGTATTATAATATGAAAATATTTCATTAAAATCAATAATCAATCTACGTAACGTTATAATAGCACAGCTGTTAATGACAAAATTCTTCACTTGAATGATACAAGGGTAAAACTTTTTTATGGTCTTACCATGCCTCAAAAGACAAAATTTTGATATAGGGCCAGCCCTTATTTTACATTTACAACGCGTTCTGCGCATGTCGTGTTTGATGACATTTTCAGTAGTAACAAAAAACAAAAATTCGGAGTCATCGCTATTTCTCTGTATATTCTTATACAACAGCTAAAGACGATAGAAAAACTATATTACAACTTTTGCTTTTGAGCAATACATTCTGAAATACTCTACATTAAAAGTGTTTTAAAAGTACTGACTCAGCACTTTTGTTTAGTGTTATTGCTCTTTCTTAAATACATTGGAAAAGCGCCTAACCAAGAACAGTAATATTAAAATGATTTTAATGCCATCATGTTATTGACAATCACCCCCACAATTACACAAACGAGTACAAACTAAGTGTGCTTTGACGCATTTACAACGAATCAAATAAATCTACTTCTCTACTCTCACCATTTTCATGAACTGTTGGATGCTGCACGAGCGAAATTGCTGTACCGTGGAAAGAGTCTTGTGCACTTGTGGAGCTGGGATTATGATCTATGTTGTCAATTGCTGCAGTTGTAAAAAATCTTTTCCGTAACTTCGACGGACAAACAACGTCATCACTCTCGTACCTTGCTATTACTTTATTAGCAATGTCGGAAGAAACAGATAAAAGCCGATCGTACGAGATGCACAATCCCAACTTGAAAAAAGCGTTGATAAGTGATTTTTCTCTCGTAGCTCCATGAATTTTGAGGGACGTGTATATTGGTACCGGACATTCTTTTTCTCTAGTGTAATGAGGTCTTGACGCTTCACGCTCGCGTGATGTGCAATTGAAGACAATATGTTGAGAGATGGTTAAGCAAGATTGATTTGGTCTCTTTCTGCCGGTTGTTTGTTTACAATTGCTCCTTTAAGTATCATATCTATAACAACTTTTAATGATGCTAGGACAGAATCCTTTTGACAATCTTCGGAGAATTTTCCGTTGAATGAGTTCTTTGTTTGAAATATATCTCTTCTTATAATCATAGCCGCTCTTGCTAAATGCCATGCTTCCGAATCTTCTTCCTTTGCCCTTTTAAGAGCGTTTCCAATTTTATGTTTCAATATAAGTATAGTGTCTCTTCCTTGACTTTGATCAGTAAAATTGGGAATAACAGTCAAGATTCTTTCCTTAACTCTGGTAGTATTAATTGATCCACTTTCAACTCCTAATGCCTTCAACTTCATTTAAAAATATGTTGTCAGCTCCGTAATCTTAAGCAAAACTAAATAATCTGATTTTAGTCGTTCTTCATGTAGTATAAGCAATAAGTTCAGCAAACGCTAGCCCATCAAGGTTTGGTCCTGAACGTTTAGCGTTTGTTGACGTCTCAGCCTTCATTGCCCTTGCTCGATTATAGAGAGAAATAAGACATTTAGGATTGTACTTTGCCTCCATTGCTACCATATCACGATTCGATACTTTTGCTATAAGTTGTCTGTCGTTTAACAAAACAGCACATTCCCTTACCTTGCCGTCTATCTCAAGCGTTGAAGCTGCACGAAGGTTTAAAGAGTTGTCTGGTTTATCACAGAAAATGCCCTCGTTTTTTGAAACTGCAGGGAAGCTTGCTCATCTGGCTTTATCTGGACTTCCTTTTTCGATTTCAGATGTTTGTTCTTCGTCTGTCTTCTCCGCACTTAAACTTCTTTTCAGGGCACGTTGCAACTTTTTATTATTGAAAAGATCCCTACATGACTTATGCCATGATGCTTGGCGTTCTTTCAGCGTTTCTTCTATTCCCTACCTCCATCGAGACCCTTTACGTCTAGATTCACCGGTAACATATCAATTTTAATAAATTCTTGCTGATTTTTTGCAAATGAGGAGTACCCAACTCCTGCATCCTTTCTTTTTGATTTTGATGGACATTGTAGACGTTCTGCAGTGTCTTTTTGACAAAATATGCATAGTTTCCAGTCCAAGAGTTCTATAATATTCTGTAAGGGAAGCAGTTATTGACACTACATGTGCATGCTTTGTTGTGTTTACATCTTGATCAAAAAAAGAATCTTCTAGATTAAATTGAACACGCAAAATATGCGCACGTCATTACAATCTTAAAGCAAAGTTTTACAACATGAACAAGTAAGGACATAATAATAGGTTACTTTTTGGTCGGTCAGTGCGTACGATTTTTATACACGAGTTGAAAATCAATTAGGTGATTGTTTTAAATCATTTCAAAACATTGAAGAGACAAAAAGTGCTAAAAACCTGAAATGTTAATGGATAGAATGAGTAAGTATTCTGAATGCTAACACAAGTAAGGTAATAAATCTTGAAGAAACTTAATTGAATGTTCTTCATTGTTTCAATGCGATTTATCATTGCACTATGGTGAAAGCCGGGAGGGCACATTGTTATACACTTTATATATAATATAAATATAAAAATGCTGAGTCAGCACTTTTAAGAATATTCCATTCACAATATTTGGGAAAGAAATGCCCAAAAGCAAAAGTTGTAACATAGTTTTTCTATCGTCTTTAGCTGTTGTATAAGAATATACAGGGAAATTGCAGATTTCTCTGAACTTTATTTTTTTTTTACTACCGACGACGTCATCAAACACGACATTCGCAGAACTCGTTTTAAATGTAAAATATGGGCTGGCCCTATATCAAAATTTTGTGTTTCTAGGCATAGCAAGAATGTGAGAAAGTTTCATACTTGTATCATCAAAGTGAAGGGTTAGGTGTTTTTTTTTCATTAACAGCTGCACTATAACACAAAGAATGTACAAATCCGCCAAGGTTAAACTAGGAAGTTAAAAAATTGAAACTATTCATGTTTTGATAAATATTTAAAAAATTTCCCAGTGCAGAAGCAATTTTTAGGGCCATTTCGCTAGCAAATGATCTGGTACAAATTTTGTGCTCACCCCACTTGCAAAATCTTGGCGACGCCACTACCAAAATGTAACCAAATGCCCAAATGGAGGAAAACTAAAATGTCCAATTTCGTTGTTTTCAGCTGCCATCCTCGATATTCATTTACACGTACGAGTAAAACTGTAACATTACGTAGCTATGTTTGATCTTCAACAATTTTAGTTGTCTATAAACTCTAATTAAACAACCAATTTATGTTGATATTAATAATTTTATGACCTTAGATGCAGTCAAGAGAAGAAATTAATAACTTTTACCTGCAGAAAATAGTTACAGATGTTGAAAAGAAACTTGTTGAACTTTTTATCCAAGAATGGAACACTCATTACAAAAAATCTCTCGGAGAATGGGAAAATACAAACGTTAGTGGCCAGAAATTGTTCAATATTGAAGTTTCAAAAAAGAAACCTCCTGGGAAACATATTCTGTCAAATTTTCAAAATGGTGACACTAGTAAGTGGGATTGTACGGCGCTATTTGCAGCGATATTGCATTCCAAATCAATTGGAACAAAAATTGATCCAAAAGTTAGAGATGCTGTGAATGAACTTCGTGAAGAAAGAAACACATTCATCCATAAATATAAAGGAAAAGTTTCTGATGAAGAATTTCATACAATGGTTTGTAATATTGAAAACTCGTTTCAAGATCTGGGATTTTCATTTAATGAAATTAATGAAATAAAAAGTGAACGAAACAAATTTAATTCTTTTCAAGTACTTCCTAGCAAACCAAATCACGATGTGGTTAAACGTACAGAATTACTTAATCAAATCACAGCAGATCTCAATAACTTGCGCAGTACTAACAATAATGAACTAACATATTACTATATTTCTGGTAATCCTGGCAGTGGTAAGTCTCAATTAGCTAGACAAATTTGTGAAGAAATGTATAACTCGTTTGACTGGGAAAAGAATACGACATTTGTGATGACACTCGAAGGAAAAGATATCGACTCTCTTTTAAAAACTTATGTTGAACTTTATCAACGATTAAGCAATGATAAAACTGTCATTGAAAATATTTTAAAAGAAGCAAAAAGCAGCGAAGATAAAATCAAAGATTTTCAATTATTACTGACACAACAACTGAAATCATGGCAAACATGGTGGATTGTTGTAGATAACGTGGTTGAACTTCATAAAATTTATCCATTGTCACCTCAAGTTGGTGATCATAGCTGGGAAAATGGTCAAATTATAGTAACTGTCCAAAATACAGATGCTATACCACCAGATGGAAATCTAAATAAACACATTTCAGTTAGTCATGGTATGAACAATGAAGAATGTCGACAACTTCTATCTGTCTTTTCTGATATTCATAATGAAGATGAAAAATTTTTAAAGGATTTATCAGACAAATTAGATCGTCAACCGTTGTTCCTGGCAAATGCTGCTTCCTACGTAGGTGATGTAAAAAGTGTACATCCGACATTCACCTGGGAAGAATATTTGTAAAAGTTGAATGAAGGAGAGCGACAGAAAATGGATGGCAATTTTCAAAAATAATCTCAGCTTACTTAGGAATGAAAACTGTTATGTTAGCAATACAAAAGAATGCCGAAGAATCCATCTTGTTAGAACATGTTTTTAAACTTTTCTCAATAATATCTTTCGATCCCTTACCACAAGATGTTATAATAGCATTTATTAAAAGCATTGATCCACAAAAATCTGCAGAAGATGTCTGTCGTCAATTAAAGCATTGTTCTTTATTCCTTCAAACGGAAAACAACGACATCCGCCTCCACAGCGTTGTACACGAAGCCATCATAAATTATTTATCGCAGACCTTTGGCTGTAAACAAAACAAAAATAATTCTGAAAAGTCTGCAGTTGATCTTGCCTGTCAAGTTGCTTGGGCACTAAGTCATTTTAAAAACGAAGATGAAATCAAAATAATTCCACATCTAATAAAATTCATAACAAATTCATCATTTCAACATTTTCTAAATAAGTTGATCGATGTAAAATCATCAAAACAAAAACTTGATGAAAGAAATTGGAAATTTGCCAAATATTTTGTAGATGTTTTGAAAAGATTTTACAACTATAAACATGCAGCTAAAGTACTTTATGAAATAACAGAAATTCAAACTAAAGTGTTAGGTGCTGATCATATTAATGTTTCATATTCGTACAACGAGCTGGGTGTCTTGCTTTGGAAGAATGGAGAGTATGAAAAAGCAAAAGATTATCTCGAACCAGCGATGAAAATTCAAACAAAAACATTGGGACCTGACCATGTCAGTATTGCGACAGTGTGCAACAATCTGGGTTTGGTTTACGAGGATATGGGAGAGTACGAAAAAGCAAAAGATTTTTATGAACGAGCGATAGAAATTGAAACAAAAGCATTTGGACCTGACCATGTTACTACTGCGACAAGGTACTGCAATCTGGGTTCGGTTTACAGTAAAATGAGAGAGTGCGAAAAAGCAAAAGGTTTTCAAGAACGAGCGATAGATATTCAAACAAAAGCATTTGGACCTAATCATGTTAATATTGCGACAACGTACAACAATCTGGGTTTGGTTTACAAAAATATGGGAGAGTACGGAAAAGCAAAAGATTTTTATGAACGAACGATAGAAATTGAAACGAAAACATTTGGACCTGACCATGTTAATATTGCGGCAACGTACATCAATCTGGGTTCGGTTTACAATGATATGGGAGAGCACGAAAAAGCAAAAGATTTTTATGAACGAGCAATGCGAATTGAAACAAAAACATTTGGACCTGACCATGTTAATATTGCGACAACGCACAACAATCTGGGTTCGGTTTACAGTGATTTGGGAGAGTACGAAAAAGCAAAAGATTTTTATGAACAAGCGATAAAAATTCAAACAAAATCATTTGGACCTGACCATGTTAATATTGCGACAACGTACAGCAATCTGAGTTTGGTTTACTATAAAATGGGAGAGTACAAAAAAGCAAAAGATTTTTATGAACGAGCGATGAATAGACTGTTTGACTTTGGACTGACCATGTTTAATTTTGGAATGTACATTCAATCTGGCTGATTACAGTGAACAAAGGAGTACAGGCATCGCAAAGATTTTTGTTGAGCGATTGAAATAAAACAGCATTTTGTCCTGAACATGCAATAAATGTACAGCAATCTTGTTGGTTTCTAACAACTCATAGATATTGAAATTTCAAACGTTTGCACTTCTTCATCACTTATTTGCTAGCCTTAAAATACTCTTGTCTTTGAGAAACGTACAAGAGATAAAGAGAAATGAATTACAATAACACCAAATGAAAGAAAATCCATTCTCTTTCATTTTGGTGTACTATCCATTGGATTAAGAAAGTTGTTAGTATGGATTTTCTTTTAACAAGTTTAAATAACAACAGTTGTATATTTATAATTGAATATTATTCTGACTTATTCAACTATTTAGTATTTTCAAAAGGATTTTCAACTGTCAATTTATGCCCATGGGCGGTTATTAGACCTCAATTGTATTGTTTGCACGTCTCTAGTTCTTCAAGTTGTGAATTTCACCAAATGATGTTTGGTGTGTCATTTTTCTTGTATAATGGAGTAAATGCCAGTCTTGGCAGCCATGGTCTTGCAACATCCTTTTTAGTAGAAAAGCTCTGATTGCTTTTGCCCCACCATTGTGAAATACAGTCTTTCTATTTGTTCTATTCATTTTAACATAATTTCAAAATCCTTTCTTGAGGTGGCTGATTTGTTGAAGACATGGAGTTGTTATTTATTTCATTGTCATACTTGATTTGAACTACCTTAATTGTCATGACAATGTTTGTTTTACTTTTGATGAAATATTTATTGTGAGTTGATGGATAATTTTTAAAGTTAAAGCCATAGGCATTATGAAAACAAAGTTATAAAATAACCTGAAGAAAAAACGGGATATATCGCAGTGACAGAATTTAAAATGTTTTGGCATTAAAAGGTACCATCAGATTTTAGACTACAGATTTACTAGTGTAATTTATATTTCAATTTTTCCTATACCATTCAAATTTTATTAATTTAAACGTTTGTTTGTTCAGAGATTTGATAGTAGACATCAATGTTTGATAGACTAGTGAAACACAGGCAATAGCAAGATGTTTTTGACATTATGCAGATACATAACATAGAAAATGTAAACAACAAAGTTGCAATGGTTGTGTTGGCAAAACCTTGTTATGGTGTTGTGTTTTGATACACAAAATTTTGAGTTCTAACCCATTTTTGTCAGATTATATCAATCCTACTGGTATTTTGTAATTGTCAATCATAAAAAAGCAAATCCTTACGTACTAATGGAGTGCCTATTTTTTAGAAATTATCATTGTATAAAGAATGTTTCAATGATACATCCTGTATAATTATTAAAAGGAAAATTTAAAATGTTATAAGCACATTAAACAAACAATTTTCGAATGCGTCAGCAACCAACCGAATGAAACGGTAAATGAATTGAAGAAATTTTATTAACATTAAAGTTTTTTAAAAGTCACTATTTGTTATTCAGCTTATTTTGATATCTATGTTGCATGCTTCGTTGTTTGTCCGTCTATGCTTAATTAATCTTTGCTTGCATTTATGTGTCTGTTGATATCGAAAGTAATGAGTTACAATGAAACAATGTTAGTGGTCCAAAAACAAAACAATATTTTATGAATAATAAAAATGACATTGTTTAGTACATCCAAAGAAGTTAAGCCAATTGAGCAAAAAAATATTTCTTGTGATGATTTATGTACATTTATACCTGTATTAGATGGCAATCCTTGACAGAATAGCGAAATGGTGATCCATTATGATCCACCATAAATTACTGGAACTCCAAAACCTTTTAGAATTTTGCTATAAAACTATAAATGTTTAAATAACAGAGTTTAACCATGGGCGGCCCAAAAAATAATTTGAATTGTATAAACAAACGATAACTCGCCCCATTCCATCGTAACAGACCGCCTACAAACTTTGTATTGATTAATTGTATCATATTATATATTTACGTAAAAATATATTAATAAATAATAAAACAAATACATAAATGAATATATAATATAGATACAATTAATCAATACAAAGTTTTCGGGGCACGGTCTGTTACAATGGAATGGGGCGAGTTATCGTTTGTTTATACAATTAATGATTTTGGGCCCTTGGTTTAACCTCACAAAGTTAAATCTATAACAAATGTGCTGCGCAAGAAAATGCTCTAGTGAAAATGTGAAATCTCTATTTCATCAAGATTTCAACGATGATAATATACCATCAACGTTTGGTGGTTATATTGTTTACCTCTGACTGACCATAACTTTCTTCAATTGTTTTTGAAAGTCTCTTAATGTCATTCCATATTCCATATTTGTTTTAACTTCTCTAGTTTAAACATAACAGGACAATCAGTGATATACAGCTCAGTTGTTCATCTCTAGCTCCACAACACTGAAAACATATCTACAATATGAAAAAAATTAAATGTCATGAAAAGACAAACCATAATTATTAGGTTATTTATTATGCATACCTCTTTAAGATGACTGTATTTTCTTTCCCAGTTCCCCACTCTACTTGCCAGAATAAAGACAGACTTTTGAGGGTTGCTACGACAACTTTGACACAAACCGTGCTGTGTCAATTGTTAACATACTGGACAGTGTAGAGTTGTAAAAAACCGAGAAATCGAAGGCTAAAATTTGTTCAAATAAATTAATTTAGCTTTTACAACAATTCATGAATGTACTTATGACAACTAACTTTTTCTTTCCTTGCAATAGCACGATGTCGAGGGATATAGCGGAGTAGTTGCGTATACCATGAAAACACATCAACACCAATCAAGGAAAAAAGTCGATCCAATGGAGGAAGTATTTGTTTCTGAACATAGTTGATGGTATTGGGGCGTAGATTTTTATCATTTAACACATCAATAGAACTGAAGAAAATTAAAACAAGAAGATTGTTTAATGAAGACAATCATATTTATACTAAAGTATTAATTAATAACATTCCAACAGCTTTTGTCATGATACATAACGTAAAATAATGAAAGACAGCAACATTTGAACTTACTCTTTAACCAATTGAATCAATGGTAGTCCAGGACTGCCGTTAACAATGACGTAAGGTACACGTTCTCCCACGCGAGGTTCCGCGCGACGATCACGTGACAAATGACGTCTATGCAAAAATCGAAATAGTAAAACTGTAATCATGACAACAATATAAAGAGGATTTTTCATTTCAACAATAAAATGAACCTTGCAATTTCCAAAGCTGGAACACATGCTTTTGGTTTATATCTTTTCATACCACGATATTCCTTAGCAAAGATGAAATCCTGAATCGATACTCTATCTTTCATCATTTTAACGAACTGCCGCTGGACAAACTTCTTCACAAGACTCGCGTCTCTTTCTTCAAATAAAATCCTTAAAGACTTTTCTAAAATCTGTTAGAAAAATAAAATCACAGACTGCTTTGAACTCAAAATTACCTTCCCCCCACCTGCAGATACTTGTATGATTGGATGACACAGTAAATATTGTCGATTGTTCCATACCTTAGCGACCGCTGGACACGTATCTCGCCGTACAGTCTCTATTCCTTTCGCATCAAAGACTGGATCTTTCTGTTTTAATGTTTCGTACATATATCCAACGTAACGTTTCTTTGTTTGAAGAACACAAGGCATATATACCTAAAAATCATCCCTAGTTATACATAAATGTATCTTAAAGTCCAAATCTCTCAAATAGATAAAATTTTACAGTAGATAAAAAACTTTTCAAACTTTAGTTTCACAGGTTTAGGATTCTCTGCAGTAACAGCATCAACAATTTCTTTTCCAATCTTAAACGCTTCCTCTTTACTGGCACCTTTTACTAATAAGAAGAAAGCACTATCAATGTCCCCATATACCACTCGAGCACCCCACTCATCCCATGTGTTCAAGAAATTGAAAGCTCGTTCCAGGGTCTCACGTGCTTTACGAACAATGGCGTCAGCAATCTGATGAAAAACAGAAAAGAATATTCATATAGTTTTAAGAGTAAAATGAATCCAGTATTACAATAAGCACTTGATAGATATTCAGTCTGAGCATGGTGACTTAGTCCAGGCTCACGATAATCATAATAATCAACATGTATCTATACTATATATATTATATATTTACCAATTATCTGTAGTAAATATATCATATATTTATTATATCTAAAATATATATGTGTATTGGTAAATATACAATATATATAATATAGACACAATCAATTAATACAAAGTTTACGGCGCAAGGTCTGTTTAGATGGAATGGGGAGAGTTATCGTTTGTTTAAATTTCTATCATGAATACAAAGTTTACGGCACACGGTCTGTTTAGATGGAATGGGGAGAGCTATCGTTTGTTTAAATTTCTATCATGAATACAAAGTTTACGAAGCAAGGTCTGTTTAGATGGAATGGGGAGAGTTATCGTTTGTTTAAATTTCTATCATGAATACAAAGTTTACGGCAAGGTCTGTTTAGATGGAATGGGGAGAGTTATCGTTTGTTTAAATTTCTATCATGAATACAAAGTTTACGGCACAAGGTCTGTTTAGATGGAATGGGAGAGCTATCGTTTGTTTAAATTTCTATCATGAATACAAAGTTTACGGCGCAAGGTCTGTTTAGATGGAATGGGAGAGTTATCGTTTGTTTAAATTTCTATCATGAATACAAAGTTTACG